CCCTGGCCACAGAGGTCATTTCCTCTGGGGTTCTCTGGCCAGAGAAAGGAGTAGCCAACTGAGCTTGGGAGAGACCACAAACTTGGGAGTGGGTCTGTCACAATAAAAGAATACTAACCTTGTCAGTTTACTATAGATTTATTACGGGCTACTACTCGCCAGGCATTACGCCAAATGCTGGTTAGGCAGTGCTGGGGCTCACAGGTGTCTTATCTATTTGAGAGGGGCAGGCATGCAAGGCTAACAGCTTATCTCCCCTACATCTGCCATTCTGGGGCACCTCCCTCCCCTCAGTTCCCCCTACTGGTAGCCAAGGCGTTCTGACTGAGTCCTGGAGGCCTCCTGTTTGCATTTCTGGCTTAAAGACTAGAGCTGGCCCTCGCAGTGTAGCTGGGGCTCTGAAGTCCATTGACCCTGCTGCTATGAGAGTCAGAACAGACCATAGTGACAGTCGCCGGGCTGGGGGCATCATCTGACAGCAGAAAGAGAGCTGCTGGGGCCCACAGGTTGCTGAGGTTGAGTGTGAAGTTTCTTGTGCTAAATCCTAGCCCTTGAACAGCTCTTGAATGTTACAAAACCCTTTCACTCTTGTTCTCTTATTGTGATCCTCGAGGTAGTAATTATCCCCATAAGAGATGAGGAAGCTGAGGCTCAGATGGAAGTGCTAGGTCCACCGCCTGCACCTCATGGCCCACGGGGCTTCCTGGAGAGAGCAGAGCTGAAGGGTGGCGCTGGCCCACTCAAAGGGCAGACGGTTGTCCCTGGGTCTTGCTCACTGAGCTTGTGATGCAGAGTGTAATTCCTGCCGTGGTGAGCACCATGCCTGCAAATGTTCCTGGATAATGGATAGAAATCGAGGGGCTCTAAGCCCAGCCGTGCCATAGGAGCTGGTGCAGGGCAGGGGAAGGTCCTTTCCTCACCCGCCCATGGGAGATGGCTCTGGAAAAGAACTGACACAGGGGTGTCAAGGCCCAAGTAGCTGCTTCCCACACTTACAGTGGCCTGACTTACGTTTTCCACCAATATCTTCTCCCAGGACCTTTCCAACAATCAGTGTGAAGATGATGGACAGGGAGTTACTGATGGGCACAGCTAGAGTTAGATCTGAATGATCAAATTAAAAAAAAATCAGAGATGCAAAAAAAATGTCTTTCTAAGCACAAAGCACTTTCATTTTATCATCAAGACAGGCTTTTTTTTTTTTAAATTGATTTTTAGAGAGAGAGGAAGAGGTAGATGAAACACTGGCCACCTCCTGCACACCCCCTTACTGGATATTGAGTCCACAACCCAGGCATGTGCCCTGACCAGGAATCAAACCAGTGCACAGGATGATGCCCAACCAACTACCAACTGAGCCACACCAGTCAGGGCTAGACAGCTTTTATTAAAAACGTATCTCATGACTCCGTATCTCAGATGAAGTCACAGTAAAGCTCAGGATTCAAACCCAGGTTTCCTGATTCCAAATTTGCTCTCTCAGGATTCCAGCATGAAGACCTGAGCTACAAGGTATGGGACCACCCTGGTTTGCTGATAAGTATGAGATCTCTGCAGACCTCAAGGACATCGGGCCAGACAGGCACCCAAAACTCAAAGGATGCAGCAGAATGACTGCAATAACATCTACCAAACATTCATTCAGCACATATTATGTGCTAGGTGCATTGTGTACATATCTCACTTAATCTTCAAAACAACACTGCAAGAAGAGCATTATCATGTCTTTGCACAGATAAACGAAACAAGGCTCCAAAGGTCACATAGCCCTGGCCAGTTTGGCTCAGTGGATAGAATGTCAGCCGGCAAACTGAAGAGTCACAGGTTCGATTCTGGTCAAGGGCACATGCCTGGGTTGCAGGCTCAATCCCTCACAGAGGGCGTGCAGAAGGCAGCCGATCAATGATTGCCTCTCATCATTGATGTTTCTATCTCTCTATCTCTTTCCCTCTCCCTCTCTGAAATCAATAAAGATATATATTTTTTTTTAAAAAAGGTCATATAAATTGAGGCACATTGAGGATTTAAACCAAAGCTGTCCCTTACTAAACTAATGGATATGAACAACCCAAAACAGCAGGTGAAGCACATTTTGTTTCTGTTTGAGCTCTGGCTCAGGCCTTATGGAGTTAAGGAAGAGAAAAAGACAGGGTTGGACTTTATGTAGAGGTCACCAGAGCTCAGGATCCCTTCCTTCGTTTTGAAGTTCCAAGGAACTGAATTCCAATAAACAAACTGGAAAAAGACTAATGGAGTTAATAACACTGTTAACTTAAAATGTTATTAACTTAAATTTTGTACACTTAAAATTTGCTAAGACAGTAAATCTCATGTTAAGTGTTCTTGTCACTCACTACCAAAACAAAACACTAATGGATAAATCAGAAGCTGAGTTACTTGTTGACAAGATTCACAACTGCCAGGCAGACTGGGATGCTCATGTGGGCTCCTTACAACATTCTTTCCCAGCACTCCCAGGCCTCACCTGCTCCAGGTAGAGGAGGAAAGAACTGTCTTGCTCCTCATCCCCTCCAAGGCCCCACTACAGCACTGTCCATCCAAGAAACTGGCACAACTCCTACCTACTCAGAGCTGCTTCCTTTGGTTGACACACCTTCCACTGGATGCCATGGCTGCTAAGGACTGGTCTGCAACAGTAGATGGGAGAGGGAAGCAACATGGCCAATGGCGCAGCAAGGGCACTGGAGTGAGGCAGACATTGGTTTCCCTATGTAATCTTGGTTAGTCGCACAGACACGCTGAGCCTGTTCCCCACATGTAAAACAGTGATAGCAGGAGAACATCTTACAACAGATGTTATCTTGTAAGATGAAATATGATAATGCATGTAGAGTCCCTGGATAAAGTAGATGCTTAATAGTGATCACTATTCTGATTATTAGAATGGGCGGATGTTAAGGATAGAGGTAGAGTAGATGATGAGAATCAGATCCTAAAGCTGCAATTTGCTCAAAATTTGGTAAATGGCGACGTGCAATCAGCGGGCCAGAGGGTTTAGCATTCTTGGGCCCCGGGGAGTGCCAGAGGCATTCAAACTTTCTTTTAAATGAAGCATTATGAGCCCTGGCCCGTGTGGCTCCGTTGGTTGGGCATTGTCCCACACATCGAAAGGTTGCCGGTTTGATTCCTGGTCAGGGCACATGCCCAGGTTGTGGGCTCAATCCCTGGTAGGGTGTGTGCAGGAAGCAGCTGATCGATGTTTCATTTTCACATCAGTGTTTCTCTCTTTCTCACTCTGCCTCTCTAAAAATAAATGAAAAATATATTTTTAAAATGAAGCTTTATGAGAAGCTCAAAATGTAAAACAGATGCAAGTAGAGTGGCTCTAGCTGAAGCCGAGGTGGCAGGTCTGGAGGTTAGCCTATCCCCTCACCCACGGTTTCTGAGGGGTTCCCCAAAGTTACTTGGGGCCCAAACTCCCCTCAAGTCCCTGGAGGGCCTGGTGAGCCTCGGGGGGAGGTGAAGCTACAACAGGGAGACTTCTCGTAGCAAAGTTCAAAAGCATAAACTTTAGGTAACAAACATATGGCTTCAAATCCTTCTACGCTGACATGCTATGTCGGACAAAGACAGATAAAATAAGTTGCAAAATGAACCCTCCTTTTTCCTCTGCTGCTGCACAAAACTGCCAGGCTTCAAACCAACCTGAGCGCCTGTCAGTGTACTCATAAGCAGCCCACTGTGCCCCTACGGCTCACAGAAGAGGGTGCAAAGAGAAAACCAGAGATGGTGGGCTCACCCCAAGGTGTTGCAGGCACCCTCCCCAAAGTGACTCTAAGCACAGCAGTTCTAAGCCAGAGACCCACCTGTTGATGCCAAGGTGAAGTAGTAGAGAAGGGAGCCACACTGGTTGAGGAAAAAGGGCACCAGGTACTGGAAACAGAAGAAATCCAAAGTCAGTGTGATTGCGTGACTGAGCAGCACTGCCTTCTTTGAGCTTCTAGATAAGCCTTTCCTCGGAGGGAGGAATGCTGTAAGGACCCAGGGAGCACTAAGCCCCCCGAAAACCAACCCCCGGCCCGCAGTGTACTCATAACCAGCCGGCTGTGCCCCTGCAGCTGAGAAGAGGGTGCAAAGAGAAAACCAGAGACAGTGGGCTCGCCTTCACTCATGCAAACAAGCTGTTGCAGGCATCCTCCCCCAAGTGCGGGAGGCAGAGGGAAAGTTCCTGACTGAACCCTGTGCCTCTGCCCTGAGTGCCCTCTCCCTCAGCCCCGCTAGTTCGCATCCTCCCATCCTGCAATTCCCCTGGCTCCAGCCCCTTCCTCTAAACTCAGGCAGCACTCGATCTGCACCTCTCTCGGCCCTCAGCCCTGAGAGGTGGCTGTGTGTCTTCTCTTTTCCACAAACCTAGACTGGCAGTGCTGGGGTCAGAGGAAATCCCCCACGGCCTTCCTTATCCTCCCTCCCCAGGGACAATGTGAACCCCAAGACTTCCCTCTGTTCATCCTCACCCGAGGATATTTTTGACTTTTTTTTTTTTAATATTTTTATTGACTTCAGAGGTCATTCACAGACGCACCTCAATATTGAGGAAGAGGGTCTTCATCTCCTGCAGCAACTGCCGGAGCCAGGTCCGCTCGTGGACGTGCTGCAGGCGGGAGGAGGCCCGCTTCAGCAGCGGCTGGGTGCCGCCCCACAGCGCGGCCACGAGCACCAGAGCCAGCACCTGCCCTGGACGAAGCGGCGAGTGAACCTCTCCCCGCCCCAAACGGCCGCGCGCCGGGCCCAGCCAGCTTCCGGCCCCCCATCCCTAGCTCGCCGCCCCCAAAGCCCCCTCCGCTCCCCGACGCCCCGGGTGCGACGGGCGGGTAGGGCAGACCCGGAAGCCGGGGAGATGGACCCAGGAGCCGGGGTTTGGGGCTGTAGCGGGGGTCTGAGCGGGTGAGGAACGTGGAGAGGGGGACAGGAACTCCGGGGTGAGGGGCTCAGATGGGCGGGGAGTGGGTGTGAGAAGCCCACAAAGGGGATGGGCCACCTACACACCGAGAGACGCCGTCATGGCAACGCCGCACCTTCCACTTCCGGGAATGAAAGGGCGGAGACCCATAAACCGGAAGTGGAGCCAAAGCGTCTTCCGGTCCTAGTCACGTTGCTTTTTTCCTGGTGTCACCGCGGGGATGGTGAGTTCCACGGAGTGGGAGATGCTGCCGTGGGGGGCCGGGGCGGGGGCGAGTGCGGATTCTGGGCGCTGACACCCCCGTCCTGTCCCCACAGAAGCCGATCCTGCTGCAGGGCCATGAGCGGTCCATCACGCAGATTAAGTACAACCGCGAGGGCGACCTCCTCTTCACGGTGGCCAAGGACCCTGTGAGCTGCGTCCCGAGGGCTGGCGGGCGGGACCCTTCTGAGGGGGCCGGGAGGGGCGCGGTCATTTCGCCTGGGTGCTGGGTGGACACGCCAGTTCTGCCGCGAGCGGGGACCCGAAGAGAACCCCGTTCTAAGAAGTAGGGAACGACCAACCCATTCTACCGGGAAAGGTGGGCTAGAACTCAATTGTTGGTGGAAGGAGGAAGCAAAGCAAGAGACCCGTGGTGGAAGGGGCGGGACGAGGAGGCAGTTCGTCCAGGGGCCGGGAGGAGACCCTTCTGGGGAAGAACTGAACTGTGCTGCCAGGATAGGGAAGCCACTTGTAGAGGGGAAGGCGGATCCTTGGGCAGCGAGGGACACATGGGACTTAATGGAGGCGTCCCTGGTCTTATTTCAGTCAGGTCTCTGGGCCCCGGCCTGCCCAGAAGAATGCAAACGGCCCCTCACACGACTGCCTTTTATGAAGTAGTTACTGAAGGCCGGCCCGGAGCAGGCCTGCCCTCAGGCTGGCCTAGACTGTAGGAAAGATTTCACCACACGAGACCAGATGGGTTTGAGAATATGTTTGTTCATGCTGGGGGCAGCGAAGCAAAAGAAGAAATTAGGGTAGAAGAAACGCTCTGCTTTGGCTCTCTAGCTATGTTCCAGGAAAGAAGTGAGCCAAGGCAGGCTGCTGCTCGCTCACTAGAAAGTGGGAGGAAAGGGGGGCCTTGGAGATAGCATCAGGGGGTGAGCCGCTGCCCACTGAGCTCCTGGCTGCAAGTCTCCTGGGGACCCTTAGAAATTAAAAGTTCAGCCGGGCCGTGGTGGCTCAGTGGTTGAGCATCCACTGATGGACCAGGAGGCCTCTGGTTTGATGCCCTGTCGGAGCACATGCCGGGGTTGGGGGCTCTATCCCCAGTGGGGCGTTCAGGAGGCAGCCCATGGATGTTTGTCTCTCGTGATGTTTCTATCTCTCTATCCCTCTCCCTTCCTCTCTCTCTAAAATCAATAACAACATTTTTTAAAAAAAGAAATAAAAAGTTCATGCCCAGGAAGAGACATGGGTGTGCTCCAGAGCAAGCCCCCATTGAGTCTTTGTCCTGAGGGCTTTTTATGTTCTGAGGGTGAGGATCTTAGGGGAGGGTTTCTGTTAGGTTTAATGTAAGGTTTAATCTGAGATGTAAGATTTAATCCGACCAAAGCCAATAAATTGACCAAGACAAGCAGGGTAAGAGCGAAATATCGCGTTTATTGGAAGCTTTCGGGTGAGGTCCCACGGTCTGGGGGTGCAGGCCGGGGGAGTCACACCCGCCTATGCCTGGCAGAGATTTTTTATGCTGCTGTTGGACCAATCAGGTTTATCTGAGGTAGCTTGTGGCGGGTGATTGATGAGCGGGAAGTTGGTGCAGCTGTACCCTGGCCATCTTGAGAAGTCTCCGGTGGTTATTTATTGGCCATCAGCACAACAGGATGCTCTGGTGGGTCCCAGGATGGCAGCTATTGTCCAGCAGGATGTGGCTCGGCAGTTCTGGGTTGTTTTGTCCAACTCAGCTGGTGGGATCAGGAAAGACCCTATTTTCCCAGCCCCAGACCTTACAGTTTCAGTAGAATATTCATCAGCTTTCCAGGTGCATTTTTAATATGCTGATGCATTAAACTGAGTGTAGAGTGGAGTTTTGGGTTATTGTTCTGTTTAACTTTTATCTTACGTCTATCTGGCTTTAATGGGATTTTTGTTACTTGTTCCCCAACCTCCTCTGTCTTTGGGGTTAGCTGGCACAAATGGCATTATTTGGGCCTTTGGTCTCTGTTTCCCCAGGCTATGTGTTTTAAGCTATTGTATGTAATTGAAGCTATGTATTTTCTGGTTGGGGAGGAGAGGTATAAACCATTAGCTCTCAGGTGTCCTTGGTTGGGGAAGATAAGGTCTTGCAATCACAAGCTGGCTGTAAGCTGCCCAAGCTGTTGGGCCTTGTTTAACTTTCTTGTCTCAGTTCCCCCATTCCACTTGCCCAAGAATTTCCTTAGCTTCTTACTATCCTACCCCGGTACCTCCATATGGAGAAAGTGAATAGTAGTGGCTAATCCTGGGGCCTCTGAAGCCAAACAGACTTGATTTGAATCCTAACTCCTGCATCCACTAGCAGTGTGACTTTGAGGATGTCATTTAACCTTTCTAAACTTCAAGTTTCCCTTTACGTAAAATATGGGTACTAGTAGCACCTCCCTGGTGGGGTTGTCTTTAGAATTAAATGAGATCATTCAAGTAAACACTGAAGCACAGAACCTGATGCTAATGAGTGCCTTCTTGAATGTTAGCCACTTTTATTCTAAATTCCTTAGACATCATTTTATTGGAATAGCCTCACAACTATCCTTTGAAGAAGGCATTATTGTCATGGCCATTTTACAGATGGGAAAACTGAAGTTCAGAGAGGAGAAACGCTGTATTTGAGAGAATACAGTGAGATAGTGGCAGAGCAGGGATTGAAACGCAGGCTTCACTACTACCAGCAGCTCCCACTTGGACCGAACACCAAAGCTCCTGTTTTTCTTTTTTTTTAAAATATATTTCTTGATTGATTTCAGAGAGGAAGGGAGAGGGAGAGAGAGATAGAAACACCAATGATGAGAGAGAATCATCGATCGGCTGCCTCCTGCACACTCCTCACTGGTGATCGAGCCCGCAACCCAGGCATGTGCCCTTGGCCGGAATCGAACCCGGGACCCTTCAGTCCCCAGGCTGACGCTCTATCCACTGAGCCAAGCCGGCTAGGGCAAAGCTGTTTTTCTTCGAGGGTTTAGGAGTCTGGGGGAGGGCTGGAAGCCTCCTGACTCCCCTGCCACTTACCTTCCGGGAGGAGGAGAATCCAGGAGTTGATCTTTTTGCCAGCAATCTGCCAGTTCCCAAGAGATGAGCAGGAGAGGGCCGAATCTGACCTGGCTAGAGGCTGCTGAGGGTTCCTGGGGCAAAATAGGAAGCCATCACTCTGCCTGAGTGTGTGCTATCCTGACACATTATCTTTGGCTCCTCCAGATTGTCAATGTGTGGTACTCTGTGAATGGGGAGAGGCTGGGCACCTACACGGGCCATACAGGAGCTGTGTGGTGTGTAGACGCTGACTGTATCCTTGTCTTTGCTCTGAGTTTATGTTCCCAGAGTCTGCCAGCAATAGAGAGGCTATTGACTTGGAGCTGGGAATTTGGGGTACGATTGTGGGTCTCGAGAATAATACCTGCCTCCTATTCCCCGGTCTGTTCATGGTTGGGGGAACATTTAGGACAAGTTCCGTTTCTAGTTGAGAAGGTTAGAGTGCTCTGAGGTAAGAGAGGAAGAAGGGCTCTCTAGAGCTGAACAGGGAAGTGATTCAGTTGGGCTCAGGTGAACTTGGTCATGTTTCTTAACACCTTCTTCAGGGGACACCAAGCATGTCCTCACCGGCTCAGCTGACAACAGCTGTCGTCTCTGGGACTGTGAAACAGGTAAGTCTGGATCATTCACTTTTTTAGCAAATAGTGAGGACCTACAGTGTACTGTTTAAGCAAAAGAGTTCTGGGGGTGTGGGGAGGAATGGAAGGGGAGCAACTGACTGCCTGGAATAGGATGGGAGCAGCTTAGGAAGATTTCCCAAGGCAAATGTCATATGAGCAGACACTTAAAGGATGAGAAAGAGTTCATCACTTTGACACGTGCAGGAATAAAAGCATGGCAAGGGTCATGTCCAAGTAAACTGATCTCGTGGAGTTCCTGCTTCTTGGAGACTGAAATAAGACAGTGGAGCAGATGGGGCAGAGTAGGACCAGAACAGGCCTTGAATGCCAAAGTCAGGAGCTTAGCTTTGTTCTGTAAGACTTGGCATGCTGAGGAGGTCCCTGAGCAGGGAAGAGTGGTCTGGGGTAACTTTTAGCAAGCCCGGGTAGCAGCGGGGAATCTTGGAAGAACTGAGACTAAAGATGGGATGCTATTAAGCTCCTCGGTCTAGTAAGTATTTACTGGGCACCCAGTTCTGTTCCAGTTCGCTGGGCACTGGGGACATGCAGAGAAATTAGGTCTTTGCTGTGGAGGAGCGCATTCAGAGGAGGAGACAGGTGTCTTGCACTCCACTATGAGCAGTGCCTCGTGAGCAGGATGTCTGAGGAGAGACTATGGGGGAAAAGTTGAGACTTGAGCCAAAGCATAGCAGTGAGGAAGAGAAGGATAGTGGGTTAGAGCCATTAGAGCAGGAGAAACAGTGAGAAATGATGATAGGCAGGGGTAGTCTCCTCCCTGTTATGGCAATAGGCAAGGGGTGGCTCAGGCTCTGTCTGTCCCTAGGGAAGCAGCTGGCTCTACTCAAGACCAATTCAGCTGTCCGGACCTGTGGCTTTGACTTTGGAGGCAATATCATCATGTTCTCCACGGACAAGCAGATGGGCTACCAGTGCTTTGTGAGCTTCTTTGACCTGCGGGATCCGAGCCAGATTGGTAAGGACGGGGCCTAGGCTTGGGGTTGAGGTGAAGGGTGCAACTCCAAAGCCCACAGCCTGACATCTGCTGCCCCACACAGACAGCAATGAGCCCTACATGAAGATCCCTTGCAATGACTCCAAGATCACCAGTGCCGTTTGGGGACCCCTAGGGGAGTGCATCATTGCGGGCCATGAGAGTGGAGAGCTCAACCAGTATAGTGCCAAGGTAAGTGGCTGCCTGGGGCCTGTGCCCACCAGAATGATTCCCTGCAAAATGCAGGATTGCACAGTGGTTAAGAACAAGGGTTGGATTTAAATACAGATTTTACCCATTTGAGCTGTGCGATCTTGGGTAAGTTACATAACTTCCCTGAGCCTGTTTATCATAAAATGTTTCAAGGATCTAATAATATTAGGTATTTGAAAAAGTTGTTCCTTAGTTCTCAGGATCTGTTAATAATCATCACAACTAAGTATTTTACTGCTATCTCTGAGTTTCAGGGCCCTGCCCCAGGGGAGACAGACTGGCAAACAGCCAGCACGAGTTAGATTGTGAGTTATGCCACCATAGAGGTCTCAGTCAAAAGCAGAAAACGCCCTCTGTCACAGAGGAGGTGGCAAATGGAACGTCACACAGGAAGAGAAGTACATTCCGGGCAAAAGGAGTAGCAGACACAGAGGCACAGAATGAAGGGAGTGTATGGGTTCTTCAGGAAATGGAGTCTGGTATCACTGGAATGTGGTATTGGGAAGGTGGACAGAGTTTCCTTTATTTTTATTTTTTTTTCAGGGACTAGATTTGAGTATCAGGAATTAGGGCGTGATTTTCCGTTAGAGAGTGGGATATCTTTAAATGGTTAGTGATGATCAGAGTTCCTCTTTAAAAAGCTTTTGCAGGCTACAGTTTGGAGAATGGACCTGAACTAAGCAATAGCCATGAAGATATGGGGTACTCAGTGGTCAAGAGATAGTTAAGGGTGACTGATGAGGATGAAAGGGGTCGGGGGAAGAAAAGATAAAGCCCAGGCTGTCTGAGATTTCTGATTCAGGTACTTCCATTCCTGGTGAATGCTGGAATGTAATGCCATAAAGGTTAGTCAGTCACTCAGCAAGCACTGACTGGTCCACTAGGCACCAGGCCTACCTGCAGGAAGGAAACTGGAACCCAGGTCAAAGGCATAAATGATGCTTGATGCTGGCAAAAGTGGAGCTGATCTGTGCCCCGAGGTAGGCCAGACTGTAACGCTGGTGTATGTTTCCCAAAATGTAGGAGACAGATAGATCCCTACGATGTGCCCAAATTGATGGATGGGACAAAAATATATTCTTCCCTCAGAATAGATAAAAATAATTAAGGAAATGAATATTTTTTGAGGATCTGCTATGTGTGAGGCACAATGCTTAAGGCCTTCCAGTCATCTAACAAATGTTTACAGGACATATGCCAGGCGCCTGTCACAACAAAGTCCACTAAATCATAGTCCCAAGATCCTTACAGTGACCCTGGGCAGCGGGCTTTTAGCACCCTTGTTTTCTAGATAGAGAAATTGAGGCACAGAGAAGTACATTTAAGGATAGACTCAACTCTGCTCTTTGTACTACCACAGTCTAGCAGGTTGTGGGAAGGGAAAACAGATGAAATGGCCCCTTGAGAAGACCTAAGAGAAGGTAGACAGGGCAGTCCTCGTGGACTGTAACCCAGCCCCTGGCAGGGGAGAGGGAGAAGCTGGGGCTCTCTGCCTCGTACTATTTGCCTGATCTCCCAGTCATACCACCTCTCTGAACCTTAGTGTATTCCTTTTAAAATTTCCGTTAAAGTATCCACTTCATAGGATTGTTGTGAGGATTAAATGAAGGAAGATGTTGGTAAGTGCTTGGCACAGTGCCTGGCAATTAGTAGCTGTACAATAACTATGTTGAAAAAAAGGGACAGATGGGAACTGCTCTACCATTATAATGTGACTAGAGGCCTGGTGCACAAAAATTTGTGCACTGGGGGGGGGGGGGGGGTCCCTCAGCCCAGCCTGTGCCCTCTCGCAGTCTGGGACCCCTCGGGAGATAACGACTTGCTGGCTTAGGCCTGCTCCTGGGTGGCAGAGGGCAGGCCCAATCCCTAGGTGCAGCCCCTGGTCGGGCTCAGAGCAGGGCTGATTGGGGGGTTGGGGCACCGCCCCCTGTCACACTCAAGGCAGGGTCGATGGGGAGGTTGCGGCGCCACCCCCTGTCACGCACAGAGCAGGGCCCATCACGGGGGTTGGGGCTCCGTACCCTGTCACGCACAGAGCAGGGCCAATCAGGGGGTTGGGCGCTGCCCCCTGTCATGCACAGAGCAGGGCCCATCAGGGGGGTGGGGAGCTCCCCCTGTCATGCACAGAGCAGGGCCCATCAGGGGGGTGGGGAGCTCCCCCCGTCACTCACAGAGTAGGCCCGATAGGGGAGTTAGGGCACCACCCCCTGTCACGCACAGAGCAGGGCCGATAGGGGGTTGGGGTGCCGCCCTCTATCACCCGCAGAGCAGGGCCGTTCAGGGGGTTGGGGCGCCCCCACTATCACCCGCAGAGCAGGGCCGATCAGGGGGTTGGGGCGCCGCCACTGTCACACTCAGGGCAGGGCCTGTGGGGGGGGGGGGGTTGGGGCGCCGCACCCTGTCACACACAGAGTTGCAGGGCGATCAGGGGGTTTGGGCGCTGCCCCCTGTCACGCTGATCCGGTGCCAGGAGGCCTCGAGGCTCCGCTGATCCCGGTGCTGGGAAGCATATTACCCTTTTACTATATAGGATAGAGGCCTGGGGGCCGGCTTGTTTGCCCTGAAGGGTGTCCTGGATCAGGGTGGGGGTCCCCACTGGGGTGCCTGGCCAGTCTGGGTGAGGGGCTGGGGGCTGCTTTCAGGCTGGCGGTTGTTGACTGAAGCTCCCAACCACTCCTTTTTTTTCTCTTTTTTTTATTTTATTCTGGGCCAGCTTTAACTCTGGCTCTAGCTCTGAGGCTTCTGCTGGTTTGTTTGCGTTCTATAATCGAAACAATGTATAACTCCAGCTCTGAGATCCCGGGGTTTTGTTTAGCTTCTATATTTGTTACAAAGTTTCAAACTGCCAGCTCAGAGGCCGGCAAGGCAGGCGGGGAACGTTGGAGTCCTCCTTCACTGCAGCAAGCAAGCCTCATGTTCGCTTCCAGCTGCCTGGCTGCCGGCCGCCATCTTCGCTGACAGTTAATTTGCATATACTCACTGATTAGCCAATGAAAAGGGTAGCGGTCGTACGCTAATTACCATGTTTCTCTTTTATTAGTGTAGATGATTAGCTAATAGGTCCATGGATTTGTCGCCATAAGCATGTGTTTTCCTAGATGGACTAGCAGTGTTTATGAAACTTGTACACATGGGCCAGGTGAGGATGTAGGCTTGGGCTTGGGAGAGGGAGTAAATGTTGATTCAGGGGTACGAAGGCAGTCCCAACCAAGACCTATGGTCCCCTTGATGGGACAGGAAGCAGTGTAAATCTTGGCTGAGTAATGGGGCTAGTGGGGCTGGGTCTGGTCAGGCTCACTCTTTTTCCTTCCCAGTCTGGAGAGGTGTTGGTGAATGTTAAGGAGCACTCCCGGCAGATCAATGACATCCAGTTATCCAGGGACATGACCATGTTTGTCACTGCATCCAAAGACAACACAGCCAAGGTGAGCCTGGGCAAGGGGTCTGGCAGAGCTCAACTTGCCCAGCTTCCCCCAGGAAGTCTCCTTTTACAGATTCTACCCCCCCCCCCCCCCCCGCCCCCCCTTCTCTCTCCAGCTCTTTGACTCCACAACCCTTGAACATCAGAAGACTTTCCGGACAGAACGTCCCGTCAACTCGGCTGCCCTCTCTCCTAACTATGACCATGTAAGGGAATCCCGTCTACGCTTCCTGCTAAAGCCTCAGAATGCTTCCAGGATCTAGATGTTTGTCTAGCAGTTAAGATAGAATTCTGGGGGGAAATAGTGTCAGGCAAAAAGGTGATTCCCAGAGCATCAACAGGACTGAACAATTGAGATGCCCCAGGGATGGGGAGGGGGTGGCTAAAGTACCAAATCTCTTTGTCCCTGCCCTTAGTATCCTCCCATCTGATGTGGGAGATACTAAGTTTATGGAGTGGGGAGGAAAACAGCAAACGGGCTTGCCTGTCCTTTGGGCCTGTGTAGAATTTCTTCTTCTCTTCAGGTGGTGCTGGGCGGTGGTCAGGAAGCCATGGATGTAACCACCACCTCCACCAGGATTGGCAAGTTCGAGGCCAGGTAAAGGTGGAGGGAGCTCTTCCGCACGGAAATCCCATGGGGTATCCTTCATAATGGACACAAACCGAGTAACAAAGGAGACTGCCCTTATTTCTTTAGTTGTTAGAAAGTGCAGCCAGATTTGTGGCCCTCCTGTGACAAGTGTGTAATGCAGCAGTTAAGAGCATGAACTCTTGGGTTCAGTCTGATGCCCTAGACCAGGGGTCCTCAAACTTTTTAAACAGGGGGCCAGTTCACTGTCCCTCAGACCGTTGGAGGGCCGGACTATAGTTTAAAAAAAAACTATGAACAAATTCCTATGCACACTGCACATATCTTATTTTGAAGTAAAAAAACAAAATGGGAACAAATACAATATTTGTATTTGCATGTGGCCCACTGGCCGTAGTTTGAGGACCCCTGCCCTAGACACATTATTATATTTCTCTGTTCCTAGTTATCCTCTGCTATACAATGGGGACAGTGACAGTATACTTCTCTCATAAAATGATGCAGATTAAATAAGTGAGTTAATGCACTGCCCAGCACATGGTAAGGAAGAGTTAGCTGTGTGGGCCTAATCTTCTCTTAACTTAATGTTGTTCACATTCACTTCTCCTTGTCCTGGTTTCCCCACTTTATGGTTTGTGTTGGGGGTGGTACCTCCAGAGTGTTTTGGAAGGAGATGGAGAGTGAATAAACTGCCCCTTCTCACCACCCTTTTTCCTCCAGGTTCTTCCATTTGGCATTTGAAGAAGAGTTTGGAAGAGTCAAGGGTCACTTTGGACCTATCAACAGTGTTGCCTTCCATCCTGATGGCAAGAGGTAGGGCCAGTGAAGGGAGCTGAGCTCAGCTCGGGCCTGGTCCCTGCCCCACAGGCCCACTCCGTGCCCCTTTCCCAAGCCCTGCCTCACAGGCCTGCCTCCCCAGAGCAGGCATCTGACCAGTCCCGTTTCTCTCTTTCCAGCTACAGCAGTGGTGGTGAAGATGGTTATGTCCGCATCCACTACTTCGACCCACAGTACTTTGAATTTGAGTTTGAAGCTTAAGAAGCTGCGTCTCCATCCTGGCCAGGGAAAAGTTTCTGGTTTAGGGCTCACAGAAAGTTTTGGACTCTGAGAAATAATAAATTAGTTTGGAAATAAATGGATTCTGGTCAGATATTTTATGGGGTTTAATAATTTTCCCTTCTCAGTGTGACACCCCAGTGAGCTGCTATCCAGGCAAGGAGACCTTAATTATTTGGACCTCCCTACACTTTCTTTGGACACTTCAAACCTGGAAGTTCAGTATTATGAGCTAGGCTGGTTGCAGGCACCTTCATCCAAGGTCCGAAGGTGCTGTGGGCCTGGAGAGGTCTCAGGAACATTGCAGCCACTCTAGGAGATGCCAGCACTTAGGGCTGGGGCTCAGAGGCTGAAACCATTGGCTGAGAGCCTTCTGTCTTCTCATCTGTCACTATTTGCCACGCCTCCCATGCTACCTCTGAAGGCTCAGGTGGGGGGGTCCAGCGCAGAAATAGGCCTGAGGAAGAGAAGGACAAGTAAGGAAGTTAAGCAGTGCCCATCCGGTTTGGCTCAGTGGATAGAGCGTTGGCCTGGGAACCGCAGGGTCCTGGGTTCGATTGCGGTCAAGGGCATGCACCTCAGTTGTAGGCTCCTCCCTGGCCTGATCCCTGGTCAGGGCTCATGCAGGAGGCAACCAATCAATGTATTTCTCTCACATTGATCTTTTTCTCTGTCTTTCCCTATCTCTTCCACTCTAAAAATCAGTGGAAAATATCCTCGGGTGAGGATTTAAAATATATATATAAATATGTATATATGAATAAACAGTTTTGTATTCTGGGTAGGAGAGCAGTGCATCCTCCTCAAAGCACAAAAACTCACTTAGGACCTCCTCTTGATACTACCATCGTCTGGAGACAGGGAATAGATATAGCTGGGCAGGGGGCTGGGCCCTATACTGAGGGGTGTGTGTGTGTGTGTGTGTGTGTGTGTGTGTGTGTGTGTGTGTGTGGAGGTTGTTCCTGGGAGGCAATTTTCAGTGTAATGTAAAGCAGTCCTTTTTCTTTCCAGGAGATGGGACCTCCAGGGAGTCATGAACTCTCAGTGGGAGGGTGCAAGTGGGGATGCCTATCTGGCGGCATGGCTACCAGGAAAGGCTTAACATCCTCAAGGTTTCTGTAAGATACCTCTTTCCCTTTCAACCAGGAAGAGGCTTGCAGGAAGATACCTCTTTCCCTTTTCAACCAGGAAGAGGCTTGCAGGAGAGCCTAGGAAGCCCCTTACCTCTCCAGGGGCCAGTGCAGCCGTTTCCAGCCAGGGTGGGTGGCCTTGGATTTAGTGCCGCCGCCAGTCCTGGGGGCCTGTTTGGTGGTCTAGGCCGAGCAAGTATCCACGATGATGCCCTGGGCCCCAGGTCGAGCCCCAGCCAGCACAGCTCGCAACAGCTCCTCAGCGCAGCGCCGCTTCTGGGGCCCGGTCAGGGGCTGGCTGGATCGGATCGTAGCAGCACCTGCAGACAGGGACTGGGCTCCGGGAAGCCGTACCCACCAGCCCTGGCTCACGAACTTCGCTCAGAGCCCCTGGGCGAGTCTACACTGGAGCGGCTCAGAGCGAGCAGGCGCGGGCTGGGGCGCAGGAGCCTGCCGAGCGAATTCGCAAGCCTCGGACCCGGGTCTGAGTTGCTTGTGGTGGGACAGGGAGGGGCCCGATAAGCAGACCTTGTGCAGGTCCTGTGTTGACAAAAGAGGGACTAGGTTCAGAGGCCCGGACGACCAGGGGGCGGGGCCACGGAGCTCAAACCCCGAAACCCGGGAGAGGCGGGGCCGGAGTGGAGGAAGGCTGGGCGGGCGAGGCCAGTTGGAGGCAGGACCCGGCGGGGCCAGAAAAGCCTGGAGCCAGGGCAGCGGCGGGGCAGCGAACTGGCCCGGCCAAAGCAGGAAAGGGCCCAATAGGGACGCGGTTGGTCCTAGTGGCGGAGTCTGGGGCGGGGCGGGGCGCACGGTTCCGCTGGGAGCGTGGTGGTAGCTGAGCCCAGGTTAGCGGCCTCCCGGGCGGAAGCGGGCGCTCAGCGCCACGGCCTCGTTGGCCGCAGCACGAGGCACGATCACGGCGCGGGGGTAACTGGGCACAAGCTGAAGTCCTTGTTCATCCGGCTCAGCCTCCACGCGTCGGTCTGCAGCGCAGGGAGGGGCGAAGGCGTGCTCTTGAGTGCCCAGTGAGTGCCATGTCCCCGCGCCCTTCCCAGGCCCGGCGCGTCCACATCCCGAGGCGGGTGGAAGCGCCAGGCGGCGCCCAGTCTCAAGCCCTTGGGACGGTGGAAGAACAGATAGGAGGTGATGACCGATTCCAGGGAGGTCAGCGCCTGGAGAAGAAGGCAGGGGATCTGGGAAGGGTGGGATCATCCCACCCACACCTTCCGGCCCCTCGGGTCCGCAGCACCCGCCTCTCCAAGTACTTCCTAGCCATTAGCTGTGCCCCGAGATAACACTGGCTGCTGAATGCTCTTGCTCAGCAACCCCTTTTTACTACCATGGTTACGGAACAGGGATAGCGGAAGTGCCCCGGGTGCACCGCGGCAGTACCTCGACCGAGCAGCTATGTCCAGCGTCGCGTCCACGCCTTCTATGTCCAGCTGTAGCCGCGCAGGTCCTTACAGCGCAGCGTGATGGTGCCAGAGTCACCCGCGATCCTGGGGATGAACGCGTTTAGGCTAAGTGTACCCCGCCCCCCATCCGGGGAGGAGAAACCAGTTATAGGATTGGACGTAATGCACCAGCTCCAACTGCACTTGCTCTTTCCCCTCACTCCGCGGAACCGCGAAGTCCCCAACTCCAGGGTCGCCCCCGCCTCTCGATGGAGTCAACACTACGCCAACAGCAGCAGCCAGAGGCCCAGAGTCGCCTGGGGCCCTGGAGACAGCAGCAGGTGGTGGCCGGCAACGCACAGCGTGCCACGCAGTGGGGCCGCCTCCTGGCCCCGCAAGAGCTCGGCTTGGGCCCGGCTGGTGCGGATCAACTCGGAGAACTCCATTCCTCCGGAGGTGGGCCTGGGGCCCAGCAAAAGGACAGACTCCAGGAGCGTCAAGCGGGGCAAGCTGGGGCTCCAAAAGGGACAGGAACTGGCTGGGCAGCTGGCGCCCCGCAGGACAGCCGTTGAGGAGGCCCCTTGGAGGAAGGGTAACACAGTTCCAAAGAACTGTCCCCTTATTGCCAGCACCTCCTAGCGAGGACCTCAGGCAGAACTTGTTAAGGAAACCTCAATCCCACCATCTGTGAAATGGGGAGAATAATCTTGCTTAAACCCTTAGCCTGGTGCTTAATTCGCATGAGGTACTTAATATTTTTGGCTTTTTACTTTATTTTTTACCAATATATTTTTATTGATTTCAGAGGAAGGGAGAGGGAGAGAGGGAGAGAAACATCAATGATGAGAGAAAATCATTGATCGGCTGCCTCCTGCACGCCTCCTACTGGGGATTGAGCATAAAACTCCAAATTGAACAGGGACTCCAGTCCTCAGGCTGCGGCTCTATCCACTGAGCCAAACTGGCTAGGGCAATAGTTATGGATTTTTAGACTGGAATGCTGGCACTCTGGCTGACTTAAAAAAGAAAGAAAAATGCCATCTCTTCTTCTGGACCCTGGTGGAAGGGGTGGAAAGTGTGGGTGTGAAACTGAGAACTGCCTACTTCCTCCCTTACATCTGAGGTTGGGTCGGGGGAAATCCTTTGGTCTACCTTAAATGCAAGCAGCTGTGTAACTGGTACCCCTCAGCCACCACAGCTGGATGTCCCTGCCTAAGGGCGCCCTCTATGGTGACCACTTCCCCGGAGCCCCATCCCCTATTGCTCCATTCTTTGCCCATACAATGAGCTGACCTCTGTGCTTAGTGTTGTAACCAAAGGATGACTGAGTTCTGTTCATAAGGTTTACGGTCTGGCAAGAGTCACACTTCAACTGGTAATTTACATGAGATAACCCGATTTACTGGGGGACTCATCAGCGCATCCATCCAATTATTCTTTTATTTCTCAAACACTGATGCCTATACTGTGTTAAGTACTGATTATTAAGAAGACGAAGATGGACTCCTGCCTTCAAAGGGCCTTCTGGTCCACTAGGTTCCAAGCTTTTGTGTATTCATCAAGCTGTGTATTTTTGATATGTGCGTTTTTCTCTGTGTGTTACATTTCAATACAAAGTTTAAAAAAGGGAACTGCACCCTAACTGGTTTGGCTCAGTGGATAGAGAGTCAGCCTGTGTGTAGACTGAAGGGTCCTGGGTTCAATTCCCGTCAAGGGCATGTACCTTGGTTGTGGGCACATCCCCAGTAGGGGGTGTGTAGGAGGCAGCTGATCGATGTTTCTAGCTCTCTACCCCTCTTCTTTTCTTGCTGTAAAAAATCAACAAAATATATTTTAAAAAAATAAAAAAGGGAACTGCTTGGGTTGAAGCCCTGGGAAGGACCGGGAGAGACGGGCCTTGGAGCCCATCCACAGGTGTGCCCCGATCCTGCATGCGGTCTCTGAGAGATTCCCAAGGGAACCTAAAGTTCCTTAGAGCATAGCTTGAAATCAAAGATCTGTCCCAACAGAGAGTTGGTGACTTATCCAACGTCCCACACAACCAGTGTCAGAACCCAAGTCTTCTGACTCCCGGGCTAGGGCTCTGGACACTTCCTTTGCCATGAGTGAGGACAGAGGGCAGCTCGTCAGCTTTCTATCCCCTCCCCCCTCCCCACTCCCTTACGTGGGTCTTAGGAAGAGGGCCAAGAAGCTGGTGTTGGTGATGCTTTTCTTATCCTGGAACAACTTCCTTTCTGGGAAACTGGGTGTCTCCTTCTGGGCAAAGACAATAAAATTCATCCAAGGGGCCAAAGAGCAGGGCTTCTTCTGTCGCCAAACGGATGGGCATCACGTGGCTCCAGGGTTAGCGGTCCTGGAAAATCCCAGCCCTTGCCACTCTGCCTCCCACACCCATCTACTCACTCACCCTCACACACTCAGCCTCCCCGACCCACCTTGAACATTCACCATCGCACACTGTTCACCCTCAGCTTCTGCCGCCACTACCTGGGCAATATTACCAGCCTTTTCCTAATCCCAGAGCTGCAATCTTGCTTTGTCACCCGTCCCAGACCCACCATGTCCCTGAGGCCACTGAAATTCCAGGCAGTGGGTGAAGAAAACGAGGAGGAAGAGAGCCTGGATTCTGTGAAGGCGCTGACGGCGAAGCTGCAGCTGCAAACACGGCGGCCCTCGTATCTGTAGTGGACCGCCCAGGTCCAGAGCCAGACCTGGCGCCAGGCCCGCGCTGGGCCTGGGCCGGGGGAACCTGGGGCCATCTGCGGCTTTGACTCCATGGACTCTGCCCTTGAGTGGCTGCGCCGGGAGCTGGTGAGTCTGGGGGGTGGACAGCCTTGCAGAGGGCCTTGGGGACGGTTCTCCAAGACCACGGGTGTGGGGTGGGAATGGATCCCGCCTCCAGCAACTGCGCATTCCTGTGGCTGTGTCTTGAGGAGCCAGGACACAGTGTTTTATTCAGGAAGACTTGCTGGAGGATTCCATTCAATCTGCTGACCTTGTGCTTTTGAGGCTAAAGACACAGAGCCTGCTCTTGGGCCACCAGTTATCTAGATGGGGAGGGCATGGCCTCCCTACTCTGGGAATTGCTGTGCCCAGAGACACCGTGAAGTACAGAATGGGGCACTCTGGAGGCAGAATCTGAGGAGCGGATGTTGAATAGGTGGCTCTTAATCCAACACGTGTAAATGTAAAGAGGTCCAGGCTCCCAGTTGGAGACTCCACTTAGTTATCTGGGATGGGGCCTGAGGCACCTGTATTTGTTTAATGCTGGGTTCTTCTTTGAATTTTTCTTTTTTATATATATTTTATTGATTTTTTTTATAGAAAGGGAGAGAGAGAGAGAGAGAGAGAGAGAGAGAGAGACAGAGAGAGAAACATTCCACAGAGGGTCAAACCAGCAACCTGGGGTATGTCCCCTAACCAGGAATCAAACCCACCTCCTTTTGGTGTATGGGAGGACGCTCCAACCAACCCAACCTAGCCACACTGGCCAGGGCAATGCTGGCTTCTTTTTTTTAATTTATTGATTTGAGAGAGGGAGAGAGAGAGACAGAAACATCAATGATCAGAGAGAATCATTGATCGGCTGCCTCCTGCACGCCCCCTACTGGGGACCGAGCCTGCAACCTGGGCATGTGCCCTTGGCCGAAATCGAACCTGAGACCCTTTAGTCCACAGGCCGACGCTGTATCCATGAGCCAAAACAGCTAGGGCAATGCTGGCTTCTTAGCTCGATTTTAGAACCGCTCGTGGGGAGCAAGGGCAGAGAGGTGGGGAGGGATTAAACTGGGATGAGAAGGGATGTGGAGGACACAGACAGTGCAAAGACCCAGGGTGTTGGCAGAAAGGGAAGGAGAGAGCGGCTGAGGGCCCAGGCAGCCGGCTGATGCCCCCTCTCGGCTTCAGCGGGAGATGCAGGCTCAGGACCGGCAGCTGGCGGGGCAGCTGCTTCGCCTGCGGGCCCAGTTGCACCGGCTGAAGGTGGACCAAGCCTGTCATCTGCACCAAGAGCTGCTGGACGAGGCTGAGCTGGAGCTGGAGCTGGAGCCCGGGGCCGGCCTGGCCCTGGCCCCGCCGCTGCGGCACCTCGGCCTCACACGCATGAACATCAGCGCCCGGCGCTTCACGCTCTGCTGAGGGGAACCTGCGTGCCTACTGACCACCCGCTACCCTTTCCCCCCACCCACCTGGAAGCGAGGTGTGCCCCAGAGGCCCCAGCACCTGGCAGGAGAGGGGGTTGGTGGGTACACTCAGATCAGATCTGGGAGCATAAAGCCTAGCATCCTGTTCCTGCTGCTGCCCCAGCTGTGTGTGTGTTGAGGGGGGGTGGGGGGGAGGTTGGGCGGGAAGGGGTGGAGAGGGAGTTGGAGAGGGGCGGTAGGAGCTCACATAATAAATACCTTCTCTGCTTCCCATCAAGGTCTCTGCAGTCATTTATTCAGGCCAAGGTCGCTGAGTGTCTTCTGTTGCTGGGACCAGGGATTCATTACAGGAGAGAAGGCCTGGGTTGGGGGTGGACACGGACTAATGGATCCTGATCTCCCCCACAGCTCTAGCTCTATCTATCTTACCAAGATCAGACCTGGGAAAGAACCTAAAGTCCTAAATGACCCCCATGGAAGTGACTTGGGTAAATGAGCAGCTGAAGAATGCAGGACCTGCCAGACCTACAAAGCCAGCCCACCATCCATTTCCATCAGACCTTGAGGGGGTCCCTTAACTTTGGACTCTGTTTCTTGACCTCTGAAATGCAAGTGCTAGTTCTCACTCCACAAGTAGTTGGACCTGTCTTCCGTGCGACAGTGCACAGCAAGCACTCAACAAACGCACATTTCAATGGCTTATCATTACTGTCGCCAGCGCCATTCCTACTGGGCTGAGGCCCAGAGATGGCCTGTGAAGGGAGTTTCGGCTGCAGCCCGGGCTCTGGGCTCTGTGTCACTGTAGTCTGCTGTGTGTTTTCTGTTAACTTTGTCTCTCTCTCAGCCTTTGTTTCTGTTACCCTCTTTGTCTGACTTTCCAACGCAGGCTTCCTCTTCCCCCACCCATTTCCTGTCTCCCCTTCCCTCGGCAGCTGAGGTGCACACACAATCAGCTTCCACCTCACAAACCCCAACAATGCTCTGCGGGCTCCCCTCCCCCAACCGGCTCACTCTATAGCTCAGGCAGTGGCGGTAGTGACGCATTTATAGCTTCCTCTGGGAGGGGGTCAAGGATCTTGGGCCTCATAAAGGCCACAGAGCGTTTCTCCTAACACTGGTGCCCTGGCCCTCTGCTTATGATGGTGCCACCCTCAGTGTGGCCCCAGGTTAACGGGGGATTCTTGGCCTGTTTGTGCTTGAGACAGGGTTCCTGCCTCCTGCCTATAACAGAAAGTGCTGCCAGTCCACTGCCTGCAGCTGGGTTCCCCGGGGGAAGGGGTGTTTGTTCTGTCTTCCACTGGCTGCAGGAGATGGTGCCCAGCCCCACACCTTTAACAGGGTCTCTGGCCTTGCCTCTACCTGAATTAGAAGTGGTCCACTACTCTCCAACCATAGTGTTGTCCTGCCTGCTTCCTTAAGCAGCTGGCTGTCCAGCATCTGCCTGGAAGAGGAGTGTTCGTTAGCCTACCCTCTGACTATAATAAGCGATGGTCCTGTGCCCAGAAATGATACGGCTGTTTTCCTGACTGCAGTAGCCATGTTAGCTGACACCTGCCTATAGCATGGGGTTCTGCTCTCCGCCTGCGGAACAGGGTACTGGACTCTCCTCTGACTCAGAAGTGATGTTGCCTCACACTGTAACGAAAAACTGTGTGAGAGCAGTGCTTCTTGCCTTTCACTGACAGCTGAGTGTGTGTGCGGCTGCCTGCCCCTGCTCTTTGGGGTTTAAAGGCTGCCCTTGAACCTCTTGTCCGGGTGCACCCTGGAGGTCAGGAGGGAGATAACATCAAATATCCTCCCTTCTCCTCCAAGTGCCACCCTCAAGGTGAGGAGAGCTAGGCCTGGAGATGTACAGGACTCTCAGGGACTGAGGCACGAGGGACTCTGGTGGCAGGAAGCCTGGGGTGCTGGAGGCTTGTGGTTGGGCTACTGGGGCCCTGTTGGCTGCGGAGCCCTCAGGAGGAGGCAGGAAGTCAGGGTGGGACGTGGGCGCGAGGAGTCAGGTGGTGGCTACCACGGCGAGGAGAGCTGAAACGGTCTGGGCAGCCAGGCTAGGCCAGCAGGACCATGTGAATGGGGCCGGAGGGCTCCTGGGCTGGGCAGGTAAGGAGACTGGGAACAGGGGTCAAGGGGCTGTGGTTGGGAACCTGATATCAGGGGGTGAAACTAGACATGGGGCCAGGCTGCCTGGGTATGCAGCAGCCCTGCAGGCTTGGGGGACAGAAGAACCTTGCTGAAGGTCAGGCAGGAGGCATGCAGTGCAGCCAGATCACCGCTTTCCTGTGTAGATGTTGGCTCTTGGTTCTGCCGCACTGCCCGCCATGGCCTCCACCTCACTTGGAGATCTGGCACATGGACTATCAGGTATTAAAAAGAGCTTCAGAAAGTCCCCAGTCGGCGCTCGCTTTGGCAGCACATATACAAAAAAAAAGAAAAGAAAAAGAATCCCCAAGTCCAGTCGCTCATCCCACGATGGATGAGCCTCCTACACCCAGAGAGAGCCCAGCGCTCCCTCCCGGCAGGCCCTCAGCAAGGCGGTGGCAGAGCCAGGTCTTGGGACAGAGTGACGGTCTAGGCTGTGACCTCCCATGAGGCAGGGTAATGGACAGGCTTGAGTCAAGGGACCCAGAATCCTTCTGGTTGCTGGCGCAGAACCCAGCGACAAGAATCTCCTGGGAGAGACCGAAGTCACCCAGAGCATCCGAATGGGCGTGAGTGAAGGATCTTAGGCGCAGTGACCAGCATTGCTTGAGAGAGGGAGGAGTCTCCGGTTGGGAGTGGATGGATATGTGAGGGAATATTTATCATCTGGGATGGCGCCTTCCTCTGACTGGACGCTGGGAAGTTGGAGCGGAGAGTATAGGGGGAGAAGGGGAGAGGAAGGGCTATTTTAATCCCGGACAGGGGTGCAGTTGGCCCTGAGAGAGGAACATCTGAACTTCCATCTGGAAAGTTGCCATTCCTGCCCCTGCCAAGTGTCACAGGACGTCCTCCCCTCTCCCCTGGCCTGCTAGCTCCCACTACCCCCCTATCGCCCTACCACCCAGTGACTGCAGGTGTAGGGCCAATTGGTCCTGTGGATTCCTGCTTCAAACCCCAGCAAGGTGGAGGCCCAGGAAAGCATAGTCAGCTAACTGCCCACCCCCTCACCCACCACCTAACTCTCAGCCTACAGTCTGTGGGGGGAGTCCCCACCTGCACCAGGCCGTCCAGGTTTCCTCTGCCATTGGAGTTTTTCTTGACACACAATTTCCATCTAGTCAGCATGTCCCGACCTTTCTCCTGTCCCTAGCTCCAAGGCCTGCAGACTTTGGTGGGGGCTGGGGAGCATGCGGACTCTCTCTGAACCCAGGCGGCTCACCCACACCCTGGACAGGCGTAAGCAGTTCCCCTTCCCACCAACCCAGCCTGTAGTGATAGATGATCCAGCGCTCGAGGCAGAGGTTCTTCTCAAAGGGAAAAAGTGCCAAGCGATGGGGCCAAGGACAGGCGAAGGGTTCAGAGGGTGGGAGAAGACATCCCTTGGTGATCTGGGAGGCTTCCTGGAAGAGTCAAGGCAGTTCTGAGAAGGATAATGGCCCACTTCGGAGAGTACCTAAAACATGAAGCCATGGTCTCTGTCCCTGGGTTCTGTTCCTTGTGTACCATGATGGCAGAGATCTCAGAGCAAAACCAAATGCAAGACAGCGGATGCAAAAAGCACGCATTTCAGAGGCAGGCAGACCCAGGCACAATTCCGGTTCTGCCATTTTCTTGAACAAGTGGCTTCACCTCTCCGGACTCCAGTTTACTTATCTCTAAAGAGGCTATAATGAGTCTCTCCCTTACAGCGTGCTTGTGGGGACTCAAAGAGAAAATAATGACTGTGATGTGCCAGGGTACTACCCGACACATAGTAGGTGCTTAACAGAGGTTGGCACTCCATCTTCCTGCAAGTGTGCACCAAAGGGAGGGATGCCCACACCCAGAATTACTCCTACTCAGCGCCTTGGCAAACCAGTGAACCACCCATTCTCTCACACTTGTGGTGTGGCTTTGCAAATGAGCTTGTTTCCTGTGTATAGTGGGTGTGAGAATTATAGACTAAACTACAGGTCTACCTTAGAAGAGGATCCCCCATACAGCTACACAAACACCCTACATATCATCATTGGAAAATGTATATATTCACGTATGTTCAGAGGCAGAGGCAGGGACTACACATACAACACACACTGGACCCTACAAATCCAGATACACACCCACAAGCTGATGGCTTTAAGGCCAAGCTTAATTCAGTGAAAGCAATGCTGAGAGGAGCTGGTGTGTGGGTGGCATGGGGACAGGCGAGACCACGATACTATCCAGGGATGTGGCCTCCTCTAAAACCAACGTTAGTGTTGGTTTAAAAGTATCTGCAGATGCATTTCCAATGCTTGTTCTAAAGAACCCTAGTTCCCTGAGGCGCCTGGAAAGAAAAGGGTTCTGGAACCAAATCAACACGGTCTCAGCTACAAACTCCTGGTTAGCTTCACGGTGGACGTGAGCTTGTTAAAGCTCTGGAAGTCCCTCCAGAGAAGGAGCTGGGTTGATTTTGTCTAACCCAGTGTTTTCCAAACGTCAGACAGAACCTTTTTGCCCCCAGCATCACCTCCTCCATGTCTACCCCGTTTGAGACAAGGAGAGGAATGGAAGGACGGGCTGTAGAACTGATCTTCCTCAAATGATCGTGTTTCTTAGCAGAGTGTTTGCATTGATGGTGGTTTTATTGTGTGTGTTTTTTTTTCAAGTACAAAAGTAGCACAGGATTTGAATTTTAAAAATTCAAACAGTATAGAGGCATGTAAAGAAATGCAGCTCCCTCCAATCTCACTCCTGGGGCATGCTCACTGTGGACAATTTGGTGTGCATTCTTCCAGAATTTCCTATGTATGGCTACTAAAAAGCCTGGTGGTTAAGGGCCTAGTCTCTGGAGGCAAGTAAACCCAGGCTCAAATCGTCACTCCACCAGTAATTTGTTTGTTATGAGACCTCAGACAGATTGCTTTACCCTGTTTGGGCCTCAGTTTTTGCATCTGTAAAATGGGGATAATAATAGCACTGACTTCATAGGATTATTATGAGAATTACATGAAATCATGCAAATAAAGGCTTAGCAAAGAGCCCTGCTCAAAAGAACCCCCTATATAT